ACTAATATCTGTTGCAAACATATCTTGATTCTCTTCAAGTAACTGATTGAATTGTTCTTGTTGTTTAGTACTTAAAGAACTAACATTCAATTTAGTTTCAACTAATGAGTCTCCCAACATTACTGGAATTTCATCTAAAATATTCTTATCATTATCACTATCACTTTTAGATTCTGATTCTGAATTGCTTTCCTTATCTTTAGACTCAATAGAATCTGAATTATCACTTTTTGTATTATTTTCAATTTCATTTTCGTTATTATCATCACTTTCATTTTTATTCCCTTTGAAAAAATTTATTTCTTCTTCGGAATATTCAATGCAGTCTTCAAAAGTTTCATCTTCATCGTCTTCCTCAATTTTGGAAGATTCATTTTTGTGCTGGTTATCACTTTCAATTTTTTCATCGGAAATTTCACTTTCCTTTTCATTAGTAGTTTCAGAAATTTCTGCTAAATTTTCTCATATGCAGGAGGCAGGTAAAACCAAGTGTTGATTTCTCCATCTCAAAGTTAACTCCTGACTTTGCCAATTATAATTTCCATTGACTTTTAACAGCCAATTATTTCCTAAAATGAGAGTATAGATGGTTGCTTCAGTTAACTCTACATCAACAGGAATAGTATATACTACAACAGTAACTGGAAAATCTCTAATAACTCCTAGGGGTCAAGTACCTTCTTTAACAGCAGGTAGAATTACACTGTTTGAAGGTTCATCTATGGAGTATACTAATTGTTCCATTGTGTTTTGCGTAATCATGCTTACAGCAGCACCACTATCAACAATAGCAGATACTGTATAACTATTAATATCAATGATACATTTGAGTAAGGTGACTCGTGGTCGATATTCTTGGTCAGCTGTCTTTACATCTACTTTTCTAGATACTTTTAAATTTTTCATAAGAGTTTGTTTTATTCCAGGAAGTTGAAATAATTGAGATCAAATAATTCCAGCTTCCTGTTTTTGCATTTGTTCAGTAAGTCAAATTCTTTTGTATACAATAATCAGGATACTTCCTTCTTTTCAGGTTTAGTAAATTTTTTTCTCTTAGGTGACGATTTCTTTTTGTTATTCTTTTTGGTAAGTTTAGTTTTATTTTCAGTTTTGAATTCTTCTTTTTGAAATGGAATTCCAAAAGTATTTACCTCAGGAATTTTAAAGTAATCAACTGTTCGAGGTTTCTTTGTCTCCTCGTCGGTACTGTCCTCATCTCGTTCACATTTTTTCAAATAAACTTTTAAAAGTTGGTTTAATAACCCATCCTCTTCATTATCAAGTTCATCATCAGTTACCTCAGTATATTGAACAGTAGCATTTCGTCTGGTATTATTATTATTACTATTGTAATTATTATTTTGGTTATTATTATTTTGAAAACAATTGTAGTAAACAGGTGATTAGTAATTTTGGGAGAGGTTATTATTATTAAAAGGATGATCATTATGATATGATTGGTTTCGGAGTTGGAAGTTTCAGTTGTTATTATTACTTCTCTGGTTTATTTGTTTTGTTAATAAGTTAATTTTTTGTGCCAAATTGATTTGAAGCTTTTCAAACTTTTGGACCAAGTCATCCAAGTCTACTTTTTCCGTTAGCTTCTTTTTCTTAGTCTCTTTTCGCCAAGATTTTTCTTCCTCAGATTTTGACTCAGGTTCTTTTTGAGACCTTCAAGGTTCTTTTCGTTTCACTACATCTTCACCTGCTTCATACTTTCGAATAAGGTCCACTACAGTTGCGACATCAGCAGGATCGTTTATCATGATTATTGGTACGAGCTCAAGTCATAAGCTTTTCACAAAATAACACATTTGATCAACAGTTGGCATTTCAGCTATTTTATTAATTTTTCTGATAAGTCATCTATGAGCAGCATAATAAGTGTCAATGGCTTCGTCACTGTTTTGTCGTAGTTCCTCTAATTCTCGATGCCATTTGTTAATCTATCGGAAGGTACAAAAGAATTCTTTAAAGGTTTGAAGCCATTCGGCTCAAGTGATAGAAGTTGCCGTTTCACACCATTCTTCTGCATCATCTCGTAAATGAGCTTTTAGCATAGTGACTTTACGAGTGTTGTCCTAATCATTTATTCGAGCGGTTTTTTCAAAATTCTCTATCCACTTTAAGGGGTCTTGTAATCCATCACCATAGAAAGATTCTACTCGAACTGTAGTACCTCCTAAGTTTCGTTGTAGATAAGTTAATATATGTTAATTGGTAGTCATATTGTTATTATTATCTTGGTTGTAGTTATAATCGTTGTGATAATAAGTGGAAGAATTATTATCATTGTCAAAGTTATAAATATTGTAATCAATGTCATTGTTATCAAATGGTTCGACTACCTCTTTTTGTTTACACTTTTGTTTAGAGGAGTTAAATTTGAGTATTAATTATTTTTGAGTTTTTAATCGTTGTGGTTCTCTGGCAAAAGAATTGTCTGAATAATTAGATGTAGTAGTTAATTTGGATTGACCGAAGTATTCTCCTTGTCTTATCCTTTGTTACAAGTGGGATGTCTTTTTAGACCAAGTACTAGAACTAGATCCTTCAGTTATTACTGGGTTAGACTAACTGGAAGAATAATGAGATTTAGGAAGAGCTAATAAATTTGTTTCAACTAATGATACTTCTTATACGTGTTGCCCAAATCCCAAATCATTTGAGATTTGGGACACCAAAATTCCAAATTACTAGTATTTGGGATTTGGGATTTGAGATTTCGACAAAAAATACTAATCATAATTTGGAATTTGGGATTTGGGATTTTGACATTTGAGATTTTGGCATTTGGATTTTGAATTTGGGTGGCAGGTATAATACTTCTGATTTTTCCTTTGGAGTACTTGATTCAGTTTCTATCGCAGTGTCTTAAATATCTATTTCTTCTAACAATTCTACAACAGTAGAAAAAGGTTTGAGTTTTGTTCCCGGTCAGGTGTGCTTTGGAATTGTAGGTGATTTAGTTTTTACAGTAGCTGGGGATAAAATATTATCAGGCTCATCAGCCTTTGGGGACTGCGTTGTAGAGTCTTGTGGTGACGTCACGACGAAAAGTGGTTGTGGTGTAAAGATAGTTTGCGAGAAATCTTCTGGTGTACTAGAAGCTAATTGCTCCAATCGTTTTGTA